GCAGCTCGGATTCTGACAAGGACTGTGCTGAACCTGTAGCTCTATTGAAGTGTCTTGCCATCTTAACAATATTAACTCTTCCATTCCTTGAACATGGATGTCTTTCTTTTTATTTAAGACTTCATTGATTTCTCTCAACTATGTTTTGTAATTTTCACAAGTGTTGTGCTTTTGTTTAATTTATTCTTAAGTATTTTTAATGTTGTTATAAATGGAATTTTTTCTTAATTATTCTTACATTTATAATCATTCTTATGTTTATACTCACATGTAGTCACTCACCAACACCTAGTCTCTCTCTGAAATATTGAGGTTTCATCAATAAAGGGGACTTCTTTCTTTCACAATGTCTCTTCTAGTTCAGCCACTGGGTGTGTGTGTGTGTGTGTGTGGTTTTGGTTTTTGAGGGGGTTTTTGCATACAGCTGTGTCCCCCACATTGGTCTCTTACCTCCAGTCGTGTCCCCATTTAATCGTCTCCTCAACTTAAAATTTAAATGTTCTCTTGCTAATTACCCTTCCATGGTTAAAAAGTTTTGTGTGTGTGTTTAATTTCCATGTTTTCCTGGTGCACAAAATCCTTCATTTGGCTTCTGAGTCCTTTGTGATGTGACCTGTCTCCGCCTCCCCCGTGACTTCTCTCTCACCTTATTTATTGCGCACCACGCCCTGTCCCCTAGGCTGCAGCTCTGAGCTCCCCAGTCACCCAGACCTTCCAGGCTGACTCCACTGCCCTTCACATGCTATCCCTTTCCCTGCAGCTCCCTTCCCACCCTTCCCCTGGTCTTCTTCAGGGCTCAGTTTAGCTGGGGTTTCTGCTGTAGAACTTACCGTACTCTGCTATAGTGAGCTGTTTTTCTGTTCGCCCCACAAGGCTGTGAGTTCCTTAAAAATGGGACTGCGTCTGGTTCACTCATATACATTCCCAGCACCTGACACATTTCCTGACACACTGTAGGCACTCAGTCATTATTTGATGAATAACTGAAGAAATGAATGGACTTTTCATCTACTGCCAGCATTTCAAGGGGTAGCAATTAATTAGTAAAACTGACAACTTAAAATACAGTTTCAAGATGCTTTGTCAATTGTGATTAATTTAAAACCCTTAATGCCTAAAGGCATATTTAGCAAGTGAAAACTCCCCCTTCCTAACGCCATCCCAAGAAAAACAGTACTTAGTCTTCAAGTTTCTTTTTTCAAATCAGTTTGCTTAACCTTTTTTTTAAATTGATTTTAGAGAGAGAGAGAAAGGGAGAGAAAGAAAGAGAAACATCAACTCGTTGTTCCACTTATTTACGCATTCATTGGTTGATTCTTGTATGTGCCCTGACTAGGAGTCAAACCCGAAACCTTGGCGTATCAGCAAGATGCTCTCACCGAGTGAGCTACCCAGGGCCTGTTTAACCTTCTTAAATCCATTCATCTCACCCCAGACTTGAGTCATGTTGCCAATGTAATAATGTCTGCAAAATCTTATAAATCCTTCTGGAAATATTAGTCCCCAAAATGTTAAAACTTCACTGAAATTCTCTGCTCAAATAATATGCCTAATGTGCTAAAACTTAGTTTCCTGAAAGGACTAGAATACTACATTAATTTGTTAGAAATCAACTCTCCTAAGATTTGAGGACAATAATACATTCATTCAATCACCGTTTGAGCACCTATTACATACCTGGCACTATGCTAAGCATTGATAATATTGAAAGTCTGTTTTGGGTCAGGAATTGGAACATGTCATAGATTTATAATATAATAAAGCAACTGTGAATAGTGTTTTTGCATACACTGCTATAGGTACACAGAGAAAAGACCAATTCTTCCAAATAGAGCTTCACAGAGAGAAGGATATTTAAACAAAGTCCTGAAAATATAAGCCAGTGTTCATTAGGAAGAGAGGCAATCTCGAGGAGAAGGAACGGCATATGCAAAGGCCCAGGGGTAGTTTCAGGGCCTTGCGGATAGATGAGCTGGACAGCGGTAGGTGCAGAGGCAGCTGAGTGGCAGGACACAGGGCTGGAAATGGACATGGGATACCTATTTCCAGACACTGTTTAGCCAAAGATAAATCCAGGAGTGTCTGTGGCACAGAAGAAAGTAACCAGCAACTCAAACCATCTTTTGAGATTATCCCCCCAAAAGAAATCCCTGAGAGACGGGAGTTTGGGCGGTGGGCACACAGTGCAGTATACAGATCTTGTAACATAAAAACCCACACCTGAAACCTACATGTTCATATTAACCAATGTCACCCCAATAAATTTAATTTTTTTTAAAAGTCAAAAAATCCCTGAGGCATTCATTTCCCCCAAGACTTAAGTCCTTAACTGCTGAGTGAGGCTCAGATAACTCCTTTAAGGAAGATTCACCATTGAAGACAAAAGGAAATGCTTTCTTGAGGTGCTACGTGGTCCTGGCAGGGGGCTGTTTTGGGGTCCTCTCTGCTCCTCACTGTCCGTGATGCTGACAATGAACAAAGAGCTGTTTTCCTGGTCTGTTGGCCTTTGCTCCAGTGTGAGCCACAAGTCCATGCAGTTCTCTGGGTGTCTTCCCTCATTCACGTTTCCTTGGTCCTGCCCATGGTTTTGGTCCTAGCTGCTTTTCAGTTTAGAGAATTAGCATTGACCTAAGAACCATGCAATTCTCAGATCTTTTGGTCTCAACACCGCTGAGGCCCCCAAAGACCTTTTATTTATGTGGGTTATATTTATCTACATTTCACATATTAGAATTTAAAACTGAGGGAAAATTTAACTACTCATTAACTCTTAAAAGGAAACAATAAAAAATGCATGCTAACATAAGTCTATTTTAACAAAGTAAAAAAATTTTAAATAAGTAATTATGAAAAATAATTTTTTTATTTTTAAATTATTTTCCAAAACAAATACTTAAGAGTGATAAGAGTGGCATTTTGATATTCTTTCATATCCCTAATTCTCACTCAATAGACGACATCTGGACTCTCATGCCTGCTGCTGAATTCAGCCTGTGACGATATCACAGGTCATGTGGCATCTAGAGAACGTGGGAGAATGGAAATGAGAAAGGCAAATAATGTCTTAATATTATTATGAGAATAGTTTTAACATTGCAGATCTTCTAAGAGGGTCTCAGAGACTCAGTGGTCCCTGAACCACAGCTGAGATCCTCTGACTTAGAAGTTCTAAAATACCATATTATAGGACAGAGTTGGGGGTTTATTAATATTAGCAGATACAGTATTAAAGCAATAGCCAGTGTGTGGGATATTACTTCAGCCCTGTAAAGCAAGTGTGGCCACTATTTTGATAGGATGAGGAGTTAAAGAAAATGTGATTATTTAGGCCACTTATTTACCATTAAAATCCTTTTTGATCTGTTTTTAAATGTTCAAGATCTCCTCCCCTTAAAACAAACTCTAGGTTTTTTTCTTCCTCCTTCACTTTAACCAGAAAATAGAATGCTAAAAGGGCTAGCAAATGAACCCACAATTAGATAGCTTAAAAAAAAGAGAAAGACACCTGGGGGTTCATGGTTTCTAGCTCTGTGACCTTGAGCAGGTCATGTTTCTACTCTGCTTCTGGACCCATAAAAGGGCCTGTCTCCCTCAGACAACCATGTGCATAACTTGAGATGTGGAATGTAAACGTTGACTTCCAAATCCTAAAGCCCTTTATAGAAGTTATTTATGATGGTGATTATAGTATGATGATGATAAGACTGCTCAGGGGACACATAAGCCATCCCTTCTCTTTAAGTGGAGAGATTGCCCTCTTTCTTCCCTCATTTGTGTGTCCCAAAGTCCTTCTCCAATTAAATTCTTGCCAGCTGCCTATGGGAAGGCCCCAGATGAGCAGTGTAATCTACGCTCTGAAATTCCCAAGGCTAAACCCAATTACTGTAATGCATCTGCTATCAAGTTACCCCCATATGCAAACCTCAAGGAGGAGAGACACTGCCAAACCCAAGTTCAGGGGAAGGCATAAACGAGCCTCACTGCCCTCTCCCCCTGCCCTCCAAGGAAGTTCTATAACATGGAAAGCCAAGAAGAATTGTTGCAGCAAAGAGTGAATGTAGCCCTGGCTGGTGGGCTCAGTTGGTTGGAGGGTCGTCCTGTGCACCGAAAGGTCACCAGTTCAATTCCCAGTCAGGGCACATGCCTGGGTTGCAGGCTCAGTCCCCAGTAGGGGGCATGAAGGAGGCAGCCGATCGATGTTTCTCTCATCCATGTTTCTCTCTCCCTTCCTCTCTCTCTAAAATCAATACTTTTTTTTTTTTTTAAGTTAGTGAATATAATGGGGATGGTCCAGCTGCAGCCAAAGCAGCACCACTGACATATCAGAAGTAAAGTCACAGCCTTCAGCAGCATGGTTGATGGGGAAATACATTTGTCTTGGTTCAGGTTCCCAACACACTTCTGAAGTTGAAAAATGCTGTTTGGACAAAGATCAGTGGTGAATTATACATCTGATGTAATCATGATCTAGAAGAGACCCAAAAGGCAGGAAATTTCAGTGGAAAGTCACTGTAAGAAAAAGCAACCGGAAGTAACTTACTAAATTGAGCTGCATGAGTATAAGATTAAACATTGGCATCGTTAGGAAGTCTCAGTCCCAAGTTAAAACTAGGGTCATGAGAATTCTCCTTAGTTTACCATCTGCGTTTACCTCTTCCCAGTGGTAAAAAAACATTGCCTGGAGAAGGAACAATAATTCTTTAGCAACAAAACATTTGAATTACACCTCAAATCAGACTTTTATTTTAAAATCTGGAGAGACATTTCAACCCAAATTTATTCTAGGATATTCTGATTTAGGTCAACTCATTTTGAACAAAAAAAATAACCAAAACACAATTTCATCTCCCCTTCCTTATGTATATAAAGCAAAGTTTCTTGCATTCTTCTCAAATAATGACTAAAATGTTAATAATAAAGAATACGTAAAATATTAATAAATAAAATATTGTGTTTTTATAATAAGTATCTTCATCTGTCTCTTTTTCCTTTCTGTGTAGCTTTGAAGGCCTCGCCTTCTAAAAAACGGTGCAACTCCATCGCCGCCCTGAAGGCCACCTCACAGGAGATCGTGTCCTCAATTAGCCAGGAATGGAAGGATGAGAAGCGCGATTTGCTGACAGAAGGGCAGAGTTTCAGCAGCCTTGACGAAGAAGGTAAAGATACGTAACAAAACAAGAGAAAGTTCTTGTGCTTTTATTTATACATGTAAACTCACAACAGAAAAATTACAAAATACCTGCTCTAAGGAACAGTCCATTAAATAATTTTAAAGGATATTTACAGTGTGCCACAGTTAATATAAAAATTTTAAAACACATAGACAATATAATATATGGTTTACAGTATAAAAAAATTAGAAAATAGTAAAATATTCAAAAGCAAGACCTATAATCCTGCTACCTGAAGGTGGCAAATCTGAACCGTTCGGTGTTTTTACTAGTAGACCTTGTTCTATGCATGTATATATATATTTTTTCAAACACACATACACATTATATACATATAAACACATACTTAGGTATGTACATACAATTAAAATGTAACAGTGCATTATCAGTTTATTTAGGTCCTCTTTAATGAATTGAATCACTTCTATAATTTTCTCCTTGCATGTCATATATACCTACCTTTTGTTAGGTTTACTCCTCAGATGAATGTAGAAGTATAGACATAGATATATATCCTGCCTCTTTAATAGTGCCTTTTAAGATTTGGGTCTTCTGGCTCACTGTCGCTGCCTTATAGACCTCAGTCTTTTTTCCCTTTCTTACTTGCTGGCTAGGACGCTGGCACACTGATGAATAGAAGTGGTGACTGTGGGCAGCCTTGCCTTGTCCTCATTTCAAAGGGAACGCTTCTAATGTTTCACTGTTGGAAAGAACTTTGCAGTACTTGATACCCATAAGCAGGTCAAGGAAGTTCCTCTGTATTCCTAGTTTGCTAGAAGTTTTTATCAGGAATCAGGGTTGAGTTTTCTCAACTACTTTTCTCTACCCTTTGAGTGGGTCATTCGGTTTTTCTCTTTTAATCCTAGAGGAGGAAGTGACATTTCAGATTTTTTAATCAGTGTATGTTTGGGGGAATCCTAACATTTCCTGAAAATTGCTTCTACTTCCTGTGGAAGATCGCTTCTCCGGGCTTTCTTTTCCTCCGAGTCTTCAGGACAGGGTGTGATTCCTGTTTCTTCTGCAGCTCTTATCCGTATGTGCCATGTTGAGCTGCTTTCTCATCTTTCTATAAACCCCTTCTTCCCCAGATTTAGTGATTTTAGCAAAGGGTTAATAAACCTCCCTTGCTCCTCTGTCTGAGTTGATGGCTCCAGTTTCTGGCAGACATCCACCCTCTGTCCCTAAGCATCCCTGCCCTGCCATCCCCCTACCACATGCCTGGGGTTCTTAAGCACGCATAAAACTCAAGGTGTCTGCAGTCTGGGAAATAGGATACACTTATTTTTAAACTGTGTTTGTTAAACTTTCAAGTATTATGCTCAATGCAACTTCTAAAGTCAAAACAGACTTTAGACTTTAGACAGGTGTTAATCTGGGTGATAAATTCATTACACAGCACCCAGAAAGTCTGAAACATGGCAAATAGTGCACATAGTGTGCTTTTTTTTTCCTCAGATGAACTATTGGACCCATTGTTTAAATATAAAGATACTTCACCTGAAAAGGTTTCCAAAGGTCAGAGAAAAACCTATTGAGTGTATTCTTTGAGAATGTTAACATACTACTTTCAAATGAGTTTATTCATCAATTCTCTGCATCCACAAAGTTTGCTATAAGTTGGGCCTTTTCATAGCGCTCTGTACTTGGGGACTTCCCCTTCCGTAGCACACCAAGTTGTCATCAAATTGCCCTCTAGTTTTTAATCATTTGTTTTCTGTCCTCAGGATATCTTAGTTACGTTAGTTTCCTGTCACCATGGAACATTACCAGAAAGTTAGCGGCTTCGTGCAGCCTCCATTTATTAGCTCACAGTTCTGTAAGTCAGAAGACTGAGGAGGCCAACCTCAGCTCTCTGGGCACAGCTAAGCAGGGACTCCAAAGCTGGGATCAAGGCGTCCGCTGGGCTGAGTTCTCATCTGGAGGTGCTGAACCTCCTCCACATTCTTCATGCTTTTGGCAGAATTCATCTCCTTGCAGTTGTAGGGCTAAAGTCCTGTGTCTTTGCTGTGTGACACCTGAGAATCACACTCAGGCCCTAGAGACCACCCACATTCCTTGCCATGAAGCCCCCTCGATCTTCATAGTTAGAACTTCTCACAAGTCACACTTTGAATCTCTGACCTGGAGACAGAATTAAAGGGCTCACGTAACTAGGCCAGGCCCACCTGGATAATCTCCTCTTGGACCAACTCAAAGTTAACTGATTAGTTAACCTTAATGATATCTGCAAAATTCCTTTTGCCATTTCAGATAAAATAATCACAGGAGTAACATCTCAACATATTCACAGGTTCCACCCACACTCAAAGGGAGGTTATGCAAGGGTGCAGGCCATTGGGAATCATCCTAGAATTCTGCCTAGCACACTAGGTTTAAAAAAGACAAAACAAGGATGCAGGAGCATGAAGAAACTGTTCTCTGCTTCAGAGGGCTGCTCCTAAGAGGTTGAGGGATCAGCTACCCAGGGTTTGGATGACGTGTGACCTGGGCCCGAGTCATAGGCAGGTAGCGTTTCCCTGTATGATATCACTGAGGTAGCCTCTGGTTTACCAGGTCGAGCTGAGTATGCCCAAGACCTGAGTCTGCAAGACCTGAGTCTGCATTCATTGTTCTCAGTTCTGCTCCATCTGCCTTATATTTAGTGGCAATTCACTGGACTCTGATGTGAGGTTATATTTCAGACCCAGTTTTCAATATTATTGAGTTTTCATATTTTTCTCTGTAGTAACTGAGAAGGTAGGATCAAGTACGTTGACGATTACTGGCCAGCTGTCTTATTAAACCGAAGCTTTTCTAATTTTTGAATGCTGCACACTTCGGTTACTCGTATTTTTATGATTATCATCTTTTATTCTAAGAGCAGTTCTTTCCTTTGACCTGAATTGAAGGCGCAGCTGCACCATCTCATACATTTTAATGTGTGTACAGCTTCCTAGTCCAGAGCCCAGCCCTGCTGTGGCTGCCTCCTTGTTCCCCCGTGCCTCGCTCCCCTCTCCACCTACACCCCTTCCAAAGCAAAATCCCAAGCCTCACACTCATAGGATAGTGCCTCTTAGGATCAGTTTCCATTCACACACACTTCCTGAAAATACATAATTTTGAGTCTGTTTTACCTATAACAGAATACCAGAAACCCCTCCCAGTTATATTGTATTTATTATCTGTTTGAGTTTAGTTTGGAGGAATGATTGAAAATCCACAGTAAAGCCTGGCAACACCAGTTAACAATACTGTATTGCATATGTGAAAGTTGCTAAGAGATTAGATCAACCCATGACTGTGCATTATGGGTTGTAACTAGGAGTGTTAACTAACCTTCTTGTGTTAATCACTTTGCAGTATGCACATATAGCAAGTCATTGTGTTGTACACCTAAAACTAGTACAATGTTATATGTCAATTCTATCTTAATAAAAATTAAAAAATAAAATATCTACACAGGTAAAAAAAAAAAAAAATCAGCATGAATCAAACTGCAGAATTTTAAGGACAGGACTCATCCGCCTAGGATGTCCACAGTGCTCTCTCTCCGGGGACTCACATGTCTCCTTTTAGAGAAGCTCTGTTCTGTCTGACTGGACCTTTAATTAAAGGGCTGTCTCTGACAGGCTGGCCAGTAATGGATGTAAATTTGTCTAAAGTTTAGGATAAGATGATTTAAAGTGATCCAGATTCAACTCTTAAAAGAAAAAAAGAATCCACATAGAATCTTGAGAGTGGGCATGGGTCACTGCTCAGCCTTGAATATTCCACTTTCCTGATGAGGGAGGTCTCTTGGATACGCATTTTCATAGGTATCTACATATTTTAAAAGGAATAAGAGTTTTCTCATTTTAAAGAAGGCAGCCTTGCTGTTAAAATATGATGCAAAGAAGAGCCATGTTCAAAGATAGGTGTGGGCTTTAGCACGGTTAAAGTACAGCTAACTGGCTGTTAGTGTGTGAGACGTGTTTCCTGGCTCTTCAAAGTCTGAGTTCTTAGGTCTAAATTGAGAATCACAGATACGTGCATGTCATCGAGAGGAGAAAACAGGTTTACTGTCTGTTTATACGTTTGCCAATCATACTTTTAATCTCTGTGGAATTTAAGCTCCTAGGAGCTTTTTATGTCATCTTTTGAAACAGTAAATCACTTTATTAGGTTTTTAAAAGAACATTCATAATGTCATTTCCATAAGCCATTTTGTAAATTAATGCAATTTCCTTCCTGTTTAACCTGTTTGCAGGAAGCTCTTTTACATTTCTGCTGCAGTTCAGAGGAGCTCAGTTAATTCATAATTTAATTGGCAGCCTAATATGTGAAATGAATGCTTTCGACTCGCCTAAATGATTATAGACCTGAGAGCAGCATTTATTACTGAGACTCATGAGCGCGTGTGTTGCTTTTGTTGCGCAGCGCTGGGGTCCCGCCACAGGCCAGACCTGGTGCCCAGCACGCCGTCCCTGTTTGAAGCCGCTTCCTTGACGACCACAATTTCATCTTCTTCCTTATATGTCGATGAACATTATCCACACAACAGGACTACGCTTTATTCAGACAGGTAATTCTTAGCGCGTTCAAATTGCCAATCTGGCTGTTACCACGTCAACGTCACAACTAGACCAGCGTCCCTGAATGAGAACATGCTGTCCCTGACAACCAGGATGTGCCTGTCGCCTGCTCCGTGAGTAAGGGAGAACATGTTTGATTTTCACTGTGGCAAGAAATGCATCCGAGGGAAAACCCTTCTGATTTTTCTTTAGAGTTAATCTTTATGTTTGGTTCTGTGGAAGAAGACAAATCTTTCATCATTTTTATTTTAATAATTTTTAATGTTATTTTTCAATTACAGTTAATGTGCAATATTACATTAGTTTCAGGTACACAGCATAGCGATTAGATATTTATATACTTTATGGAGTGATTACCCTGGTAAGTCTAGTACTCATCTGACACCATATACAGGTATCGTTATTATGATGTTACTGACTATAATCTCTATGCTGTACTTTACATCCCCATGTCTGTTTTTATAACTGCCAATTTGTACTTTTTAATCCCTTCACCTTTTTTACTCATCCCCCTAAACTCCCTCCCATGGGGTGACCATCAGTTTGTTCTCTGTATTTCTGAGTCTGTTTCCGGTTTCTTTGTTCATTTATTTTGCTTTATTTCCACATGTAAGTGAAATCATATGGCATTTGTCTTTCTCTGTCTGACTTATTTCACTCAGCATGCTACCCTCGAGGTCCATCCATGCTATTGCAGATGGCAAGATTTCATTCTTTTTTATGGCTGAGTAATGTTCCATTATATATATGTACCAAATCTTCTTTATCCATTCATCTATTAAGGGACACTAGGTTGCTTCCATATCTCGGTATCGTAAATAAAGCTGCAGTGAACATAGGGGTGCATATATCTTTTCAGGTTAGTGTTTCGGACTTCTTCAGATAAATACCCTGCAGTGGAATTGCTGGGTCATAAGGTAGCTCTTTTTTAGTTTTTTGAAGAACCTTGTTGTCTATAGTGGCAGCATCAATTTACAGTTCCACTAATAGTACACAAGGGTTCTCATTTCTTCACATCTTTGCCAACCCTTGTTGTTCTTTGATTATTGATCATAGCCATTCTCCTAGGTATGAGGTGATATCTCAGTTAGGTCTTAATTTGCATTTCCCTCATGAATAGTGATGTTGAGCATCTTTTCATGTCTGTTGGCCATCTGTATGTCCTCTTTGGAGAAATGTCTATTCAGGTCCTCTGCCCAATTTTTAATCAGATTGTTTGTGTTTTTTGGTGTTAAATCATATGAGTTGCTTAATCCATTTTGGATATTAACCCTTTATTGAATGTATCAATGGTGAATATCTTCTCCCATTCAGTAGATTTTCTTTTCAGTTTGTTGATGGTTTCTTTCACTGTGCAAAAACTTTTTACTTTGATGTAGTCACACTTGTCTGTTTTTTCTTTGTTTTCATTTAATAATTTCTTATGAATGGATTTTTTTAAGCAAGCACTCTTGGTTAATAGTGTAGAGATAGCTGCAAAGATATTTGAATATTCTTTTTTTATATGAGTGACATAGTGACTATAGTAGACAGAATAATGGCCACCCAAAGTTGTTCACATCCTAATCCCCAGAACCAGTGACTCTGTTACCTTATATAGCAAAAGGGACTTTGCCAATCTGATTAAGTTAAAGATCCTGAAGTGGGAAGTGTATCCTGAATTATCAAGATAAGTCCATTGTAATCACAGGGCCTTAACAGAGGAAGACAGGAAGACTGGAGTCAGAGAAGGAGATGTGATACCAGAGCAGAAGTCAGAGACAGAGAAAGCTTTGAAGATGCTACAACTGTTGGCTTTGGAAGTGGAGGAAGGGGCCATGAGCTAAGGAATGCAGGCAGAATCTAGAAGCCAAAAAAGGCAAGACAACTGATTCTACCTTAGGGCCTCCACAAAGGAACATTAGGACTTCTGACTGCCAGAGCTGTAAGCTAATAAAATTTTATTGTTTTAAGCCTCTTACGTTTATGATAATTTGTTACAGCAGCAACAGGAAACTAATATAGTGACTCTCAAACATTTAATGTGAATTTGAGCATTGAGGTGGGTTACTGAGATTTCTTAGATAGAAAATTAATTTATTAGATATTTTTCCTTTTTAAACAGAATGTTCCCAAACATTGTTTCTAGGAATTGAAAAGATCTTCACAAAGAGGTCACAACATTGCCTATGGGATTAGCTGTTTTACTTTTTCTGTTTTTACATATGCAGTTTTGTAATTAGCTTGCATTTCAGGATGGGACTACTTTGTACACATTCTCCTTCATTATCTGTTAAATGCTGAACTAGTTGTTGAAATCTAGCTCCTGGGAATGAAGATCAGATTTGTGCGGGTGAAGTGCTTCTTACACTGTAAGTCATTTTCCACCTTCAGGCTAGCAGCTTGGTTCACTCAACATGGAAGATTCATTTTTAATATATGCATATTTATAGAGTCTAGCTTGGTCTTTTAGCATGTTAAGGTTTGGTGGTTGGAGCTTCTGTAGAAATTTTTCTTTGTTGCTGTTTCCTTCTGTCTTGGCTAGATACAGGTTAGGTGATAGCAGGCGAGGCAGCCAGTCTAGGTCTGGAGAAGTGGAACAAATTGTCAGGTTTGCCACAAACTTCAGCTGGGCTAGAGTTTGGATAGCTCTGCTGTAAGGCCGACAAATAAGGCTCCATCATAAATTATTTAGCTCACCTGAACTGTAAAAGTAATTTGGTTAGCTTCCTTGGATTAGAAAAATTTAAGGTGACTTATACCTAACATTGATGTGTACCTTGACTGTTTAAATTTGTTATGTAAATTAGTCAAGCAATAGGGTTGTTTTTTTATCTCTACGGTCCAGCTGCACACTGTTCTTTTGCTCTCAAATATAAATAGACTCTCGAAAGATGGCTGAAAAGTCACAGGAAGTTCTTTGCAAGGTCAAAAACAATTCTCGTATGAAACCATGGTGGTGACTTATGGTTTGCTTCTGTTCTCATTATCAGGAGCATATAACTGGCTATGGTATTAAATTATTTACTAGAACTTTCAGCACAAAATTAAAAGTTTTTGTTTGTTTTGGTGGCATTGGTTGTGTGTAGTTAGGTATCCAGCCTTGGCCAGAGCTGTTCAACTCTTGGGAATCCATAAGGTTCCCCAGGGTCTGGCACCGCCTCCTGCTGACTCCCAGTCCTTCCTGGCCAGCTTGGGAGCCCCCTGCATGCCCTTTATCTGCACGCTCCGGGGCTGTGGTGTAATTCTTGGTCCTTCTATTTATGCTGATACTGGTTATCATTTATTTGGATGCAAAAAATACCAACATTCTCTAAGATTTTCTCTTTCTTTTTTGCAATGAATTGTTTAAACTACATCTTCTTTGGCATTGTATCTACAAGTTGCAATTTCACAGCTGTCAGCCCAGGTTGGATTCAGTGGCAAGAACAAGAAACAGTTCTACCTTAATTAGAGAGGGATTTGATAGAGGGAATTGGGTGCTTACAAAGCCTGTGAAAAGGCGGGGGAGTGGGCTCCAGGCTGGATGTCGGGAAATCAGCCCTGAACACACCACGCAACTGGCCCACCAGCCGCCCTGCAGCCTTCGCCACAATCAAGCAGGTGGGATACAAGCCAGAAAAGAGCATTTTGGTGAACCCAGATTGTTTTTAAATAAGCTAACATTTAAGCAGTTTCACGTAAATACCCTGATTCTTTTGAAAAGCCTCTAGCTCTGGCACTACTTGGCTCCACTGCGCCCTGACATTGCTCAGCTGGAGGGGAGACGCATGGCCCCTGCCGCTTGCCGCCCTCTGCTTCATTCATCTCTGCAGCTGCCTGCCTGTGGGCATTTTGGTGTTTAGCCTTGATGGAGAGGAGAAGCCCAAGACAGGCCTCAGATCTCAGCCACTGCCTCAGGGAAATCGTATGGAAGAGGTGCTAAAGAGCCCTCAAGAGAAATAATTGCGTGCCAACTCCCCAGAATCAATATTCCTGTTTCTCCCACCCACTGTGCCCCACCCTATTCCACAGGGAGGCCTTACCAGCAGACTGAAGAGAAATGAGCAGATTGTGTTTCTATCCTGTCTTCCTTGACAGCCCTCCTAGTCCCAGTGTCTCTCGAGGCAATCAATACACAGGGATCCAGACCTCTGTTGGCCTGCTGAGTTTTAAAACCTGATTCCGATAGCCCGGAAGGAAAAGGAGTTGAATACTGATGGTATAATGCACATTAGGGGTTTTCTCTTTATCTAGGAATCATTTTTTCTGTTAAGGCCAAGTGGTCTGTTTTCCCTTTGTAATATTATGCTATGTATATCAGCACTTTAAATCAACTGTAAGTGTTGCAACTAGCGGTTGTCATTCCGTCAGTCTTTTTAGAATCCTTGATTTTGAAAGGTGTTGATTAGCGCCTGGACGTCTCCACACCGAAATTACATACTGCAGCAGGAAACCGCTGTCGCTTAGAATTGTTCCTTTTTTAAATGGATTGTGTTTTGTAATGTCAAAAACTCCAATAGCAATCCGTTCTTTTTTCTTTTTAAGTGTACTCCAAAAATTGACTAGGAAGCAAAGAACAAATAGTGTCATTTTAAAAGTGTATTATTGAACTGATGATTGGGAGTATGTATTTTCAAGTTTCACTGTACAGTTCTGGGTCAGCTTGTGCACTTCATAGGAACACGCTTCCCAGTCAAATGGTGGGATTTCAATTCTGAATTTTGACCCTTGACTTTTCTTTCCTAGTGAAAACTCTGTTCTTTTACAGGAGGTATGCATTGAGCGCTAAGAAATGCAGACGCAAATGTGTTTTATCTCAGAGTTAAGAACAATTTGATGTTGTGGAAATGGGTTACACTCATGAATATTAATTTTTTTCATGATTTCCTGCACAGTTGGTAGCAAAGCTGAAGCTCTGATTATGCATAAGGATCGAAAGCCCTACCGCATCCCAATATATTTATACTTTACCATCAAAGATGCCTTTACCAACATCACCATTCTGTTTAATATCCTGCTTTGCTAGTGG